CAATACAACAAATACTAGATACATATCCAGTAGGTCAGTTCAGTTTTATTTAGCTTCTATAGGATATAGGAGCATATATTTTTGTTGTATCAACTAATGAAACACACAAGATTATTCGATTACTGTTAACCAGTGCGGGTGCGTGTAGTTCTAGGTCCTAATTCAAAAATGAATCTCTCTCTTATCACAGGGGTTGCTGTTTATATACTCATATTTATGAAATGGCTCTTTCCCACACATACATCTCAGGTACAGCTGGATCGATCATGTGGCTATGCACTGAGTGGATTTACTCAAAATCTAACAAAAAGCTGCTTGATGAGTGCAGCAAGTCAGTTGAGATAATTGTGAATATATAATTGAATAACATGGAATTTTACTTTAGTTTTGAAGAATAAAGTTGAAAAATATAAACGGAAATTATGATACTCTGTATAGATAATCTTCCGTAATGCAATAACATTAATATTGCATTTTGTATATATATATATATATATATATATATATATATATATATACATATATATATATGTGTGTGTGTGTGTGTGTGTGTGTGAGAGAGAGAGAGAGTGTGTGTGTGTGTGTGTGTATATGTGTGTATGCGTGTGAGCGTGTGTATATATAGCTTGCTAACCATTAGCCCACTTCGAAGTGCCCTACCGAATTCTATTGGGTCATAGTATATCTTCCAGGACCTCCGCCGACATTGTTCGTCCAGTTCTTGGCATTTGGACCTATTTCTCTCATTTGCCAGTGTAATAAATTCCTCCCATGACACAGACAATTCCCAAATAATGCTTCGTGTTGTCAAAGTGCGATATCAAATCCGGTCTGAGTGATGTTACGTTTTCTGGAGAACTTCAGCTGGGTCTTTAACTCCACTATCAACTGCCAATCATCTGTGGAAGATAACAGCCTTGTTCTATCTTTCCTCTATTTCTGTATCTTTACTCCAGCTTTGATGAAGTTAATCTAACTTGACTTCTTTCCTGATTGATGCTTACTAGACCTTAGCTTTAGTCACCTCGTTTGCAATTGCTTTAAGGGCTTGGTCGTAGTGCCAACGGTACTGATCATCAGCCAAACCTTTTGGGCATCTACTAAGGATGTGCTGTAAAAATCCTTTCCTTGCACATGGTTGGCAATTAGGGGTAACGCTCTTCCCCCATATATGCAGGTTAATTGGGCTCGGCAGGGCATCATAAGAAATTGAACCTCTCTAAAATCCGACCACCAGCACTCTAACGAGGTAATTCTTTTCCGTTCAACGTTCTCTCATTTCGTCCAAGCTCCCTGCTGACTCGGACCGACCATTTTACAGTATCGAGCTTCTACGCCTGCACGGAGTTCATCTTGGATGAGTTGGCGTCTTTCTTTGTCTTTGGCAATGTTGGTTTGGGACTGGGGAAAAAAAAAACCTAACCCCACTTTGTCTTTCGCTATTGACCCATTATAAGCTTTATGCCTAAGTCTCTCCTCCGCCACAGGGCAACTCTTCTACAGCGCTCCATTTTCCTTCCTTGTTTGAATTCCAACTGCTGCCACTTTTCAATCTCTGGATTCAGCATACTGCAGCCGTTCTCTCGTTCTCATGACTTTGAACTCTTCCACAAGGTTACTAAAGGGGGGTGCAATGCGTTGCACTTATCATAGAGAGCCGCATCACTTAAGCATCTCGGCAAACCCAGCCACCTTCTCAACCGATTACTAATTACTCTCGCTAACGTTTCCATGGTGGTAATCGGAACATCATAGGCAAGCAATAGCCACAATATCCGGGGCAATATTATGTGCTGGAAAAGCCATGCCTTGAATCGTCCTGACAATCTTGATTTGTCGATTTTGGTAAGCCACTCCTCAAGATTCTTTATAGTCTGCTTGATCGCGGCTGTATCCTTCAGGCTACTGTTGAAAGTCTTGTCCAAGCTCTTGACAGGCCTTTCATTTAGGGTAGGGATCGTTGCTTCTGCGATTATGAATCGGACTTTCTCCATGACCTTGCCTTTTTTTCAATACTAGGGACCTAGATTTTGCTTGCTTGAAATTCATTCTGGAACTAGTCATATTTTTCTAAATCTCCTTCAAAAGCCATCTGCCTCCCGTGGCAGATGTCGTTGTCACGGTTAAATCGTTCATATAAGCCCTTATCGGGGGCTGATGGACTCCTGACCTAGACAAAGAGCCTTGGAATTCCACCTCGGTTGACTTTATCGCGTGTTCATGGTTAATGAAGAGGACAGCATACATTGTACAACCTGTAATAATGCCCTTTTCCAGTGTGTGCCGTTCCTAATCTGTTGAACCTGGACCTACTCTCAGCCGGAAATTATCATAGTAGTTGACTATTAGATCACATAATGATGAAGGCACGTGATGTCTATTTAGGGTTTCCTTCTGACAATTCATGTGGCATGGACCCGTGGGCGTTGGCGAGATCCAACCACAGTACAATCAGGTCACCTTTGCTTTTCTTGGCCTCTCTCGGAAGCTGAGTCAGGACTACTGCATGCTCAAGAGAACGTGGCATACCTGTTATTCATGATGACGGTCGTCTTCGAGTATAGAATCCAGAGGTTAGCAGTGAATATTTCGAAGACAGTAGGAAAGCGTTGTTTAGGTTAGCAGTGGATATTTTGGTAAAAGGTAGCAGAGCGTAGTTCGTCTTTCTGTTTCGCCTCGCCTGATAAGCTGGAACTGGACATACGGGTAGAGTAAACAAAAATGTCCGCCTTTATACACGACGGATTAAATGTTCTACGTCTTCTGATTGGTTAACCTTCTATTGGTGGACTATAAAGTGAGTTAAGTCATTTGAGCTAACTCACTAGTTATATATATATATATATATATATATATAAACACAAAAAAACTGTAACAATACCGAGGACCCCGCTTTTCTGGATCGATGTGTCAATGTAGCCATTTCTAAGAATGAAGTTCGAAAGGCGTCTTGACAATAACCCGTAAAAGATCTTACTCTCGGTGTTCAGTAGGGATGCGTATTTGGTTCAGCGACTTTGATGCTTCTTCCTTCGAGATTCATATCTTCCTCAGTGAATTTCTACTGCTCTACGATCTTGCCTCTCCTCCAGGTGACTCTTAATATTTTAAACAACCTTTGGAGAATTTCTGTACCCCGCTTGTACAGGATGTAAGGGTACCTCACTCGGTCCTAGTGCTGATGCGCAACTCGTTGCTCTCACAACTTCTTGAATTTCTTTCCAGGTGGGCAAGCCGGTGTTAAATCGCAACATTGGTGGCTCTTGAGGGATCAAACGGGTATTTATACCCAGTTCTTGCTTTTTGCAGGGTCACCCAAAGAAATTTCGAAGGTAGTCTTCCTCCGGTGTCTCCAATTTCCCATTGCGTTTATCCCCTCGCAATGTTCTTGCTAAGCCAAAATGGTTAGACAGCAAATTTCCTCACTTTTTTTTTTCTTTTCTTTCTTTTCCTTCTCCTCCTATGCCACTCAACTTGCCGGATAGTTTTTAATTTCTCTCTGAGAATTCCTCGGAGCTCCTCAAGAGGTTGACGTTCCTCTATTCGTAAGTAGGTAAAAAAGAATGAAATACAATTAACGTGGCTAGTCGGACTGCATAGACTATCTGAGCTGGAAACATACCTAATGGGCAATGTATTTCTTGCTTTAATTTTATAAATAATCTTTTAAAAAATTTTAATGACTTGTATGCCTATCTTTTTTTTTTTTAAAAAAAGACGACCTTTTTATTTCTACTTATTGTCCTCAAATGTCCATTTTAAATAATTTATTCCGAACAGTATAATGGTATATTCCTTATACTGTTCAGAATAAATTATTTAAAATGGAGTTAAGGCTGCCAATTTCTTTGATTTTCGTCGACTTTAAGTCGGTTTAAATTTAATTTTCCATTTTTTCAATGATACATTATAAATCAAAGAAATTGGCAGTCTTAACTCTTCAACAGGAGGGTTACAGTGAGGTGTGTGACTGGGGTACTATTGAAGAAATATAATATCAGTCAGCAGTACTGATTATAAACGTACAATAAATTAAGCTAAAAATTCACAGAGAGATGCATAACACACAAATACATAGACATATATCCAAACATACACTCGAGATAGATACACACATTATTTTTTAAGATAAAAACTTTTCTGGCTAGAGATTTTTAAAGAGAAATTATATTATACATTCTAATTAGAGTAAATGAATCATTTTTGCATCTAAGTTATAGCAATAGTGAATTTTCTTAAAGATTGTACTGAGTCCGAAAACATTGGTGACTTAGAGTCGCCACTGATATATATATATATATATATATATATATATATATATATATATATGTTATCCCGCTAAATCGAGTAGTGAGTCTGATCCTCACTGGGTGCCCCACATTCTCGCTTAGCAAATCACCATTAGGGCACTTCGACATGATGTAATGGTTAGCAAGCTTGTCTCGCTAGATAAATCCTCATTGGGTGCTCCACACTTTTGGCCTTTTGCCACATGTAAGGTAATTTAAAAATCATTAAAGGACACTTCGATGTAGTCTTATGGTTAGCAAGCTTTTCTCGCTAAATCAGTTACGACTGATAGTGACTTCGATCCTCATTGGGTGATTCATACCTTCAGGCTTGTGTCACATCTCAGCCACGCTTAGCAAATCCCTATATACATGTGCTATGTATTTGTGGTTCTATTTAGTGTAATATTTAACAAAAAATCGCAAATAATTCAACCAAATATAATTTATTTATATTTTTTCATGGATAACACATGTTGAACACACACACATTTCTTTGTAAGGACGCATGCCAATAATTATGCAGCCCTGCGTAAAGCCAAGCGACTTAGAACAAAACATATGCCCTCTGTTGGTGCGTGCAGGAACTAGCGCTCAAATAAAACACTGAGCGCCGACGTACATTTCTCTCCTGCTTTCCCGTTTGCCTCGTTCTTCCATTACACGATTCTTTTCACTCTTAGGCGCATTAGAGCTGGTGTTTATTCATACGAATAGATCCCAACTACAAGCGAAAGAAAGCAGGACAGAAAAGAAGGTGGAGGAAAAGAAATGAGAAGAGAAAGGAAGAGAGAGAGAGAGAGATAAATGGAGAGAAAGGAAAGAAGTGATGAAGAAGGAAAGAGAGAGAGAGAGAGAGTAGGGAAGAAGGAAGGAAAAGGAGGGCAAACGTAAAGAAGAGAGAAATAATGAAGAGAAAAAAGAAGAGTTAGAAAAAGAAATGCGGAGAGGAGGGGGAAGAAAACAAAAGAGGAAAGAAAGAAGATAGTAACAAATTAAGCGAGAAACGAAGGCAGGAAGGAAAATAAAAGAAGGAAGTTCGTAGAGAAATAAATAAAGAACGAAAGGAAGTAAGAAAGAAAGGGATGAAGAGAGGAAGAAGGAAGAGAGAAAGAAATGATGAAATAAAGAAAGGAAGAGAGTGAAGAAGGTAGAGAGACAGGAAGGAAGAAAGAAATGAAGGAAGGAAGAGAGAAAGGATGGAAGAGAGAAAGGATGGAAAACAGAAGAGAAGGAAGAGAGAAATAAATGATAAAAGAAAGGAAGAAAGAAAGAGAGGAAGGTAGAAGGAAACGAAAGAAGAGAGAAAGGAAGAAAAGGAGAAAGGAAGGAAGAGAGAAAGAAGAGAGAAGGAAGGAAGAGAGAAGGAAGGAAGGAAGGAAGAGAGAAAGGATGGAAGAGAGAATAGAAAGAAGAGAGAAATAAATGATAAAAGAAAGGAAGAAAGAGAGAAAGGTAGAGGGTAAGGAAAGAAGAGAGAAAGGAAGAAAAGGAGAAAAGAAGGAAGAGAGAAAGAAGAGAGAAGGAAGGAAGAGAGAAAGAAGAGAGAAGGAAGGAAGAGAGAAAGAAGAGAGAAGGAAGGAAGAGAGAAAGGAAGGAAGAGAGAAAGGAAGGAAGTGAGAAAGGAAGGAAGATAGAAAGGATGGAAGAGAGAATAGAAGGAAGAGAGAAATAAATGATAAAAGAAAGGAAGAAAGAGAGAAAGGTAGAGGGTAAGGAAAGAAGAGAGAAAGGAAGAAAAGAAGGAAGAGAGAAAGAAGAGAGAAGGAAGGAAGAGAGAAATAAATGAAGAATAAGAGAAAGGAAGGAAGAGATAAATGAAAGAAGAGAAAAAGGAAGAAATAGAGAAAGAAAAGAAGAGAGAAAGGAAGAAATAGAGAAAGAAAAGAAGAGAGAAAGGAAGAAATAGAGAAAGAAAAGAAGAGAGAAAGGAAGAAATAGAGAAAGAAGAGAGAAAGGAAGAAATAGAGAAAGAAAAGAAGAGAGAAAGGAAGAAATAGAGAAAGAAAAGAAGAGAAAAAGGAAGAAATAGAGAAAGAAAAGAAGAGAGAAAGGAAGAAATAGAGAAAGAAAAGAAGAGAGAAAGGAAGAAATAGAGAAAGAAAAGAAGAGAGAAAGGAAGAAATAGAGAAAGAAAAGAAGAGAAAGGAAGAAATAGAGAAAAAAAAAGAGAGAAAAAGAAAAGAAAATAAAAGAAAAAGAGAGAAAGGAAGAAATAGAGAAAGAAAAGAAGAGAGAAAGGAAGAAATAGAGAAAGAAAAGAAGAGAGAAAGGAAGTAGAAGATAAAAAAACAATGTTCTATTGCACAACGGTGCACACGCGCAGACGAGAAAATTGCATTCTAATTATAGCAAGTGACGTAGGTTTTCTTTCTATCTCCTTTGCTTCCTTTTCTCCCTTCTGTTTTTTTTACTCTTGCTATTTTCTTCTTAAATATTTGACTCCATTGTTTGTTATTTTTTACATCTTTTTTAAAATCTAAACTCATCATACCACCCTCTTCTTTCTTGGTCTTTCTTTATCAATCGAATTTAATCTCAGTAAAAAAAAAAAAAAATTTCTTTTTAATTTTAATAACCCATTTCTCTCTCACTTGATTTGTCTGACTTCTTATTTAATGTATCTTCATGCTTTTGCAATTTAATTCAACTGACTCTCTCACTCTCTCTCTCTATCCTTACTGTCTGTATGTGTGTATGTGAGCGTGTGCGTGTGCGTGTATATAAACATACGTATTTTAAATGGAAAGAAAAAGTGAAAGAAAGAAAGAATGAAAGAAAAGAAAGAAAAAAATCGAGAACTTTAGATACATAGATGTAGGTGGCCCGATACAAAGTGAAGAGGGACGTTGATATCTGTAGCTATCTGTAGATTAACGTTTCTGTCATAAAATATTTTATTTTTATCACACACACACACACACACACACACACACACACACACACACACACACACACACACACACACACACGTTCTTACACCTACGCACAACACTTAATAAAAGATCTATCTATCTATCTATCTATCTATCTGATAGGATAAGGAACATATAGGAGACGTTTATGAATTTTAAATAGTTAATAAAATACCTGTCTCTCTCTCTCTTTCCCTTTTTACACACACACACACACACACATACACATACACACACACACACACACACACACACATATATATATATATATAAACGATAAAGAAGATATTGAAACGTTTATAAATTTTACTTATCGTATCATTCTGTTGGATTCTAATCAATATTTGATCTACATTTGATCCCAATTCTCCCTCCTCTCTCTCTCTCTCTCACACACACACACACACACACATATATATATACATATATATATATATATAACGAGAGAGGGGGAGAAAATGGAAGAAAGGGACAGAGAATGAAAGGGCCTCTTTCTCTGTTAACCATATCTATATTGTATATCTATCTATGTATGCATACATGCATACATCATCACGATCACGAGTCACATAAGCCATTAAGGTCGTAGGGGAATCACATGTACTGCAGCTGTAGCAACAGTGGTGTGTCTTGGGCATATATAAATACATAGAGTATATACAACATGTCCACTTTCTGTATATGTATATATATATATATATATATATATATATATATATATATATATATATATATATATATATATATGATCTCGTTACACCTGCACTAAATTCTTGTCACTCACTATTGAATCGAAACCGAAGAATTTGGTATCATTACAGTCGGAGAATATAGAAAGGTGTATTTCAAATATTACTTGGTCGGTGTGAAGCTAGCAGCGGTAGTATTGACTACTAAAATGAATAAAAATATAAGAAAACTGTAATAAGACATTTGCAGATCTAGTTCAGTTTGTAGAGCTTTCTGGATGAGAAGGTTAAGAAGATAAATAAGCTCCTTTATCTAATATAACGGGTTCGATTCCGTTATTTACCCTCAGATAATCTGAATGCGTAAAGACGTCATGCGTCCTCCAAGTAAATGTTCACGTCTAAACAAGTCGCATAAATTAGTTTAAAAAAATGTATCCATCGTAAAATTAACGCATTTGAAAATAAATACGCTTCTCTTCCGTTCATTTTTTTTTGTTTTCCTCTAGTCCAAATTAATTCTCACTAAAATAAAAAAAAAATTCCAGCATTTCCAAATCTATATCTATTTGGCCTTTGTATTTAAATCTAGTGAAAGTCCGGGCACCATCGTAATTCTAAGTGCGTAAAGAGAAAATCAGAGAGACAAGTTCAAAATCCGGCTTTGTCCGCCACGTTCAGTTTCATAATAGTAAATCCAGTTCCTCTTCCACCATAGAGCTATGAGTTAAATAACAGGGTAGATTAACTCTTTAGCCTTGTATGGACTCTCAGTCGAGAGGGGAAGAGCTACTTCGAATTTAAAACTGTAGAGATGTTAAAGGGAAATCACTCTTCAATGTTTCCAAAAAAATCATGCCAATTCGCATATAATAAAAGAAATGATGGCTTACTTCCTGAAGAGACATGACATTTGAGAAAAGAAAAAAAAAATACTTAAATCTTGCAGAATTGTCAGTTGACTATTGATTAAAAGCACGGATAATAAAACTGGCGAATCGAGTTCAAATTCCGGCTTTCCCAGTTGTGACCCATTTCGCTCTAATAACCTTTTAGAAAGACACGAATCAGTTCTTGTAGGTAGAATAGTTGGATAAATCTCTTGATTAGCAACAAACTGAGACGGACAATTCTGCGTACAAAACTCTGGAGCAAGCTACCAAAAAGCAATAATTTTTCTAACGAACAGTCATAGCAAAGATATTAAAAAAGGAAATGAAGCTGTGGAGAACCATGATCACTTACACCTTGTGGAGACCTGATACTTAAGAAGGAAGAATTGAATCTTAAAGAAGGAAAACCACATTTGTTGGTGAAAGCGTCATTGCTATGATTGTTCATAACAATAATGATATGTAGTTAATTCCAATAAAAATCGAATAAAATAGAGAAATAATATAGAAAAAAAAAAGAATTAAAATTTACGCTTTTCTTTAAAACCCTTATCTCTTTCTTTCTCTCATTCTCTCTCTCTAAACTTCTCTCTCTATATTTCTCTCTCGGCTAATGAGAAGACAACCTTCAAAAATAAAAAGGTGGAAGAAGAAAAGACTGAACCAAAAACGGCGGAAGTTTGCTGGCCCAGAGTCTAGCCATTTGTGACTAAAAATTACCAAAAATCAGAGGCTCCACGCATAACTTCCGCTGTAAAAAAAAAAAAAAAAAAAAAAAGAAAGGAACGTCGGAAGGTCAAATAATTTGGGCCAATCAAAAAGTTAACACAAAGAACCTTTTGATGTTAGTCGAAACCAAGGGAGCCTCGTCAAAAGGACATACATTCACAACTCTGACCTAGACAATTTAAGCATTTAAGCGGTCATCTGCTAATGATATTTTCTACCCTTTTTTGGGCCGCGAAAAACACAGTAGATTGACGCTGACCGATTTCTAAGTTGACTACTACTACCAAGTTCTGACTTCTAAACTGTCGAATAGCGAAACGAAACGGATTTTCTCCGGACTGCTACCAAGATCAGCCTTATGAACAAACTTTCGTTATCTCGAATTAAAAAGGACTCATTCTAATCTAAATCAAATAAAGAAATATATAATATTTACTTTATATCTTTGAGTCATTTCGTTTACCAAGAACCCTCTGACACAACTCTCCACAAATAATCATATGACAATCCAGTACTTCGACATGGTGTAATGGTTAACAAGCTTGTCTCGCTTGATCAGTTGCGATTGGATAGTGACGTCGATCTTCACTTCGGCCTTGTACGACATCTGACTTACGATTAGTAAATTATCATATTATAATTCTGTTTGTCGCCCCTTTAGTTAGCACGTACTTTACGACCTGCCAAAACCTCATAAATAATGGATTATTCCGTTTGATCGTGTGAAAACAAAAAAAAAAACACAGGCTCTAATTTGGGAGCAGAGAAAATCTCTCTTATATCCGGGTTTCTCTTATATCCGGGTCTCTTATATCCGGGTTACACTGTACAAAGACCCCGAGATAGAAATTAGTAGAGTGTAGATTCTCCAGACAACAACCTTACCTGTTGTGACTAGGGCTTTGGGAATGTGATAAAAAGATAGACAACTATGTCGATCAGATAATGGTAGCCTTGAAATATGAAAATTGCAAAAAAAAAATCATACTCAAAGGGACCTCTGTGCAGAGCAATACCACGATTATATTTTTCGCTCTTTGATTACATGGGGACAGATCTATTGGCATCACCGATTACTAAAAAAAAAAACAACAAAAAAAAAAAAATAGTCTCTTGAAGGCTCTCGTTGAGACTTGGGGGCAACATGTACTCCAGATAGCAAAGGTAAAAAACAACAGCAACAACAATAATGACAATAATAATAATATTGATAAATAATAATAATAATAATAAATAATAATAATAATAATAATAATAATAATAATAATAATAATAATTCCAGTCACGTCTGGCTAGCAAGTTTGAATTCCGAGAAAGAACTGAAACTATCAAGAGAACAGTATTATTTATATCAACATAATAGTTATATTAGGTACTGGAATAGTGCAACGGCTTATTGTCTCTTGCTAACCATAAATCGACTGATACAACTGCTACTACTACTACTACGCAATGGGTAGTCATCATCACCATAATATTGATAATTGTTGGGTGATATATTAAGCAGCGAAAGAATTGAGAGAAGAGAGAAAAGGAGGAACAAGCAAAATGATTCACGTGATCAATCGAACGTAACTGAGAAGGAAAGAGAGATTGAGTACGGAGGCAGGAAACTATAATAGGGGTACTCTCTTTCTATCGCCTCCGTTCTTTCTTTCACTCTGTCTTTCTGCCTCTCTCCCCCTCACACACATTGACTTCTTCGTATTCTTCATTTTTGCTACAAGGAAATTTAATCGGCTCATTTGATAAAGAAGTTGTATTTGCAACACTTCTTGCCGCTAAAAAAAAAATAGGTTTTTTCGACTTGGACATATTTGCTAAGACACACACAATATTTAAAGAATTGTCAAAAGAAACATATTACTGAATATAAATGCATATTTAATATTTTAATTAACTGTAACCAGGGATAATTTGCTGATCGGGATATAGTCGTATTTTGCCAGGCGTCAGCTTTGTGGCTTAGTCAAACTAACATTGCAGATTTAGATTTTCAAAGCGTTAGTCTTTCCTCAATTAGAAGGCCACAATTATATTATATTTGTTACGAAATAGTAGCCAAAATGATGTATTATGGCAAATAACATCTATCTATCTATCTATCTATCTATCTATTTTAAATAATAGTTTTAGCAGACTATTATTTTAGGGGAAGTATATTTCGGTTCCAACTTCCGGTGGTTGACATTTGGTGTCAGATGTGAGCCATAATAGGGAAGTCGATTTTGATTGGCTGAGTTAGCCTGGGAAAGATAGATAGGAGTGTGGTTTCAGCGAGTTGGTTTTTACCTGTCAAGCGATGTAGACATATTCTCTTTCGTGTACGAAACGGCCTCACAGTCAGGGTGGGGCGAGCCCCCACTGGATATTTAGATAATGTACATATCGACATGAGTAATAAAAATAGTTAAATTAAAATTATCTGTGTTTGATGTCTTTCATTGCTGAATCAAAACAATTAGCCATCGCCGGCCGAGTGAAGACGAGATAAAACAGCCCGCACCAGGGGTGGCGGTTATGTCACATCTATCTATCTATCTCATTCTGTTCATATCTATATCTATCTATCTATCTATCTATCTATCTATCTATCTATCTATCTCATTCTGTTCATATCTATCTATCTATCTATCTATCTATCTATCTATCTATCTATCTATCTATCCATTCTGTTCATTCTGTTCATATCTATCTATCTATCTATCTATCTATCTATCTATCTATCTATCTGCTTAAATTCTCAACCTTTTAACTTAATATCAAAAAGCGACATGGTTATTTTAGGAATAGATGTGTATCCCTTTTTTCCTCTTTAGGGTTGATTTTCTCATTCACTTTCGTTCCCAGTAGCACCTTGTATCTTAGTGACGTTGTCACCTTGCTTGGAGTGAATTGATTTAAAAAAAAAATGACCAGCCTCTGTCGTCTTGACAGCAAGAATAAACACTATCTGGCTCAGTATTACCGCTATAAGCCAGCAATGAAGCAGCCATAGTCTCTCTCCGTATTACTAATGGGTCCTATTTCTTACAACAATATTTCATGGATTTTATAAATGGTTTTCATATTAGTAGGAGTAACAGTATATGAACCTAGACCTTGGAAGAACGCTTTTAGATTGTGTAGACATGTGTGTATTTAACTATATACTTGTATGTGGATAGCATTGTATTTGCATTTGTATTCTACATGGAGATCCGGATGTATGCATTTGTTTGTTTAGTTTCGCTAAAGAAGCACAGTATTAAGTCTGTCCGGAAAGTATACAGCTGTGTTGAATATCTGAACTGACCGTTCTTCATGTTTTATGTCGGTTCTTACTTTCTTTCTTTCTTTCTTTGATTTATTTTTCTTTCTTTTTCCTTCTTTCTTTTTCTCTTTCATTCATGATTTACTTTCATTGATTTTTTTTCTTTCTTTTTTTCTTTCTTTCATTCATTGATTTTTCTTCCTTTCATTGATTTTTTCTTTCTTTCTTTCTTTGATTTTTTTCTTTCATTCTTTCTTTAATATTTTTCTTTGATTTATTTTTTAGTTCTCTCATTGATTTTTCTTTCTTTCTTAGGATTATTTTTTTCTTTCTTTCTTTCTTTCTTTCTTTCTTTCTTTCTTTCTTCCA